AATCAACACTCTAGGCACCAGCTGTCAGGAAATCAAAAGGCAAGTTGCTTTTTTTGTTGTTTTGCTGTTTTAAAAAAATGGTTTAAAATAATTTTAATGAATATTTAAAGAGATTTTGGATTTCCATCCATTCATTGTTGCACTTCTCTCCCCACCGAGCCCTCCACCCGACAAGTTGCTTTAGGAAAGAATGCTATCACGGACCTCTCCAGAGTACCAAAAGAACAGTGAGGCCAATCTTAAAACTAAGGTGCACCTGATTCAAGCCATAGTCTTCTTATTTACTTGCTATGCATCAGAGAGCTGGACAATGACTAAGGATGACAGACAGTTGATGCCTTTGAATTGTGGTGCTGGTGAAGAGTATTGAACATACTATGAACTGCCAAGAGAACAGGTCAGTACTGGAGGTGAAACCAGGTTGCTCCTTGGAGGCAAGGATTGTGAAGCTCCATCTCACATACTTTGGGTATGCTGCAAAGAGGGACAGGTCCTTGGAGAACATCATGCTTGGAAGGCTGGAGGGTAAAGGCAGGAGAGGAAGACTCTGAATGAGATGAACTGACAGTGGTTGTGGCAATAGGAGTAGGTGTGTCAGTAGCTTACTACAAGATAGGGCAGAGTTCATTTATTATTCATAGTCACTCGATTCAAAGGCACATAACACCATATGGAGAAGGATGGGCATTCGCCTCCCATTCCAATTACTGCCTCCGAAAACCCGCTGAAGTGTCATCCATGGATTGGTTCCAATTAGACAGTAAACAATCACAACCTACTTTATGTATTTTAACAAACATGATGCCGGCCTCTAGGAACTGGTCCCTCCTGATAACCTATGATGACAACCTAACAAAGGATGTTGAGATCAAGTCTTGCCAGCTTTGCTTAGGGGTATTCTAGTGACACCTTTTTCAATACAGTAAGGTTGTTTTTTTTTTTCTGATAATCCAGTTTATGATGCTGGTTCTTGATGAACACCATAATCCAAAGGTATTCGTTCTCCACCGGTATTCCATACTCATTGTCTAGCTTTCATATGCACACTCACTCAATCACTCCTGTTAAGTCATAACTGACTCATGGCTGACCTTCCATTGGGTTTCCAAGACTGTAAATTGCATGCCAGGGAACTGTCCATCTTCTCCTGTAACATCTTTGCTTTTGAGTATTTTTTTTAAAGGTCTTTGGAAGATTTGCCCAATGCAAGACAGCCATTGATTTTGTGACTGCTATTTCCACAGGCACCTATTGTGAATCTCAATATCTTTGACAACTCCAATATTTTTTATTTATAATGATGCTACTATATTAGTCCAATGGAGAAGAGCTTATGTTAACCTGTAATTCATACTGAAATCTCTTATCTTCATAAGTGCTTCAAGTTCTATTAGTAATGTTGTCCCATCTCCATATGTGTTAATGTCTTCTGCAATCCTGCTGGCATTTTCCTCTACATATAGTTGTTTTTAAAATTCAGCAAAGATTTGATAAGGTAAAAAGTGTGTAACTTTCTTTACCCTAAATCACACACTACCCATTTGTTCTATTTAATCCACCTCTTGGTCTAGGTATAGATTCTGCATGGGCACAAATAAGTGTGCTGTAATTCTCATTCTTTGTAATGTTATCAATAATTTGTTTTGATGCACACAATTGAATGCTTTTAAGAAAACCTCCCCACAAATACCTTTCTGGTATTCTCTTTCAGCCAAGATCTATGTGGTACTAGAAATGCTACTTCATGTTCAAACTCATGACAATTTTTTTTCATAAGTGTGTGGAGCTTGTTTTTCAGTATGGCTTTCATAGCCATCTAAATTTTACCTGACCGCGTGGACAGGCAGGGGTATATTAGCCTATCCACAAAGGGATTGGCTCATCTTGCCAATAAACTGAACAGCTCTAGGCACAGATCTCAGATCCTCTCCTGTCAGTAGAGTAGAAAGACATTTCCCCATAACTACTAGTGAAGAAACCTCACCACCAGGAAAAGCAGCCATTGCTGAACTAGAGATGTGACACGAGATGGGACCTTGGGACTGCTACACCATTGGAACAGGAGCTAAGAGCCTTTGTCCACGTTTGTTGAGGAGCCATAATTTGCAAGACTGAGAACTATGTAACACTGGCTAAGACTGATTGGTGGAGGCAATATTGGCAGGACTGAGAACTGTTAACACTGGCCTACAGCTATGAGGCTCAAGGGTGAGATGCCTACGAGCACATTTTGGGAGCCCTCCTATTCTACTAACCTTTTGACTTCCCGAACACGTTTCTGTGTGATCTGTGAGGTATTATATTGGACTTTTGAACCCAGCAAAGCATTAAGATTGATGTTGAGATGAGAAGAAAGAGGTAGGGGAGAGTAGGGGCTATGTCTGACTTCATGGGAACTAATTTTATGTTGATACTGTTGATGAATGAGGACAGTTCCCTTTTGTTAAGTCGATAAAGGTCAGATATGGTGAGACTATTTTTGTTTCAGAAATATACATGTCTAAATATAGAAAAATCTTAAAAACTGGAGTTTTCTGAATGGTGAAGTTGAAGTGATTTCTCATTTGTTTCTGCTCTCCCATACCCACTATAATCCTTTTTCTTTATTGTTTTAAATAACTAGTTTCTCCACATGGTATTATTTCACAACTTGGTATTTACATGTATCAAATGGTTCGATAGTCAGTGTACACTTTGTATGTACTACTCTTTCAACCCACAGAGGTTCAAACTCCCATAAACACATATTAAACTATTTATTTACTTTTGTATCTCTCCAATGGTGGACTACATGAAGAAGAACGTGGCATCAGGATTAGAAGACGACTCAACAACCTACCTATTATGCAGATAACATAACTTTGCTTACAGAAGTACATACTGAAGAAAAGACTATCAGCCTTCGGTATGGGTTACATCTCAAAATCAAGAAAACAAATTGAAGTTGTTAATGATTTCATTTTACTTGGATCTTTAATTAAGGCCCAAGGTAACAGCAGTCAAGAAATCAGAAGATGTGTTGCATGAAAGGTCTGATGTCAAGGACCTCTCCAAAGAGATAAAAAGGAAGCAAGTAAGCTTAAAGACCATTGTAAGCTTGATGCAAGCTATGATACTTTCAATTGCTTCTTATGCATCTGAAAGTTGGACAGTGAGTAAGGATGACAAAAGAACTGATGCCTCTGAACTGCTATTTTGGAGAAGAGTACTAAATTTCCCATTGACTGTCACAAGAACCAACAAATTTGTATTGGAGAAAGTTCAACCAGAGTTCTCCTGAGAGGTAAGGATGGTGAAACTTTGTGTCTCCTACTTTGTGCACATTGTCAGGAGTTGTCAGTTCCTGGAAAGAGACATACAGCTTGGAAAGGTGATGGATTGATGAAAAACAAGGATACCCTCAACAATATGGACTGACACAACGGCCTGCAACAATGGGCACGAATGTCTCAGAGATCCTAAGGATGATACAGGAAAGTGCCAAGTTGTTTGGCGGGTTGTGATGAGTTGTAGTTGACATGATAGTTCCTAACAATAATGACAATGCCTTTTACAGTGTTTAGCATATGAAAAGCATTAACTATATTCATTTGTTCAAGAAAACATTTCTGGCCCACCTTGCTGCGCCCGCCCCTAGCTATGATTCGTGTGCTCCCAGCACCCAGAGATGCACACTGTGCAGACAGAGTGGACATGGGCAGAGTGATGGTGGCCAGGCTTGGACTGGGGCTGCTGCTCCTAGCGCTGCTCCTCTCCACACTCATTTATTCAAATAATGCAACTGCCATGCCATAGTCAAGTCCTTCCTCCGAGTCTACCTCGGTTGCCACACAATCACCCAACACCACCACCCAGGGAAGTGGAGGTCCCCTGCAGTGCAGAGCCAGTCTCCTTGTGGTCTCACTCTCCCTTCTACATCTCTACTGTTAAGAGACTCAGGCCAAGAAATGCCTCTATTTCCCCATCTTCTCAACTCAATCCAAAGGGCACCTAGAAATCCAGTGTGACAAGGAAAAATAAGATCTCCATCAAATCTACTGATTCCACACCTTATTTTACTGACCCAGAAAATGTTGAGAATCTCTAATCCAAAGGGCACCTAGAAATCCAGTGTGACAAGGAAAAATAAGATCTCCATCGAATCTACTGATTCCACACCTTATTTTACTGACCCAGAAAATGTTGAGAATCTCTGATTTCACTGATTTGAAGAACATGCGAAGAGCTTGACAAGATGATGAATGCCAGGATCATATGTGGTGGTTTCCTGTACCAGATGAAGAGCAATAATGCCCCCAAGTCTAGAGACGATTTCCTTAAATGGAGCCTAGGAAATCTGGACACTTAAAACTACTTAAAAACAAGAACAGTTTTATTTAGAAATAAAAGATGGGGTGTGGAGAATAAAAAGGAAAATATTTCTGGGATAAAATATGACTGTCTTCAACCTATTATAAAAATAATTTATAATGGAGTTCTTTAAATTACAGGAAACAGAAGAATTAAATCAGTAACTCATATTCTTTGCAATGTTCAGTATATAAAAGATATAAAAGCCATTAGACAAGTACTAAAGCCATTCTAGTCAGGGTTGGAAAGTGAGTTTTGCCCACCAACCTTCTTTGTCTCTTATAGGTTGTTGTACAGTTTGAATATCATGCAAAATTCAAGTATCCCTATATGGCATGTGAGAGGCAGAGACAAAGCAGAAACACAATCAGTCTTAACATGTATTTATTTCTCTTTTTTATTGTTTTTTGCAACTATAAATTATAATCACTAGTATACTTGTAATTCTTCTTATAGTGTGTTCAACTACAGAATAAGCAAACACAGCATGGGTCAGCTTATAACAAATCACAGTACTTTTTGTGTAATTGTCAAAAGAGTGAAAAAGTCTTGGGTCCACTTGCTGGCAATAAATATCAAGTAACCATAAGAATATTCAGCCATTTTCCAATTTTTCAGGGAAGTTCATGCATGTTCCCGGGAAGAGTGTATCAAAGTTCTTCTTTGAAATATCCCAGTTTTGCCAATGACATCTCTTTTCTTAAATGCATAACTTCCCAAAACATCTGATCAACTATATAAAACAGAAAGAGAGAAATGTAAAACATAAAGTAAATTCCATTTATATGTAATAGTTTCCACTAAAAATTTAAACTCAGAAATACAAACAACATTTCCTAATGATATGTCTCATCTGTATATTCTACAGATATTTAAGACAATTTTCTATACACTTGTGAATACTCTAGTTTTACCAATAAATAAACAGCATTAATGTAGTTTTATAAGAACTAGTTGTCAGATACAATAACTTTCTAAACTTTAGACATTTCACTCTTTCATTAACAATAAAGAGAGTAAGACTGAATACAGGAAAAAGCAAGACAGTTTTGAAACCTTGGTCACATTCTTTGTAACATTAGGGAAATATTTTGTGTATAGCTCAAACTGAAAAGAAAAATATGTATAGGCAGAAAGAAACGACCAGGGAGGGGTGACAGGATGGGAAGGCAGGCTGAGGGGAGGAGAGATTAGCAGGTGGATGAGTAGGGTGTAAGGAAAGTTGGGGACAGTGAGGACTTAATTAAGGGGTAACAAACGCACTTTATTAACAGCAATTAATGCTACAAAAATGCACATGAATGACTGCAAATTAATATTAAAAAAGTAGAGGATGACCTGTTTTGTTAACCTGTGAGTTTTATTTATTTATAATTTTTGTAAGCCCCAAATATAAATGGGAAAAGTATACTATTTCACATAAAAAAAATTCTGACATATAATCAGACTAGATTGCTTTGGATCAGCAATTCTCAAGCAGGGGAGATCCTGCCTCTCCAGTACATCTGGCAAATGCTAATAACAGATTTGGTTTTCACAGACAGGGGATCGCTAATGGCATCTTGTAAGTAAAGGCAGAGATGTTGCTAAGCACCCTAAAATCTACAAGATAATCTCTCATAACAAAGAACTATATCCCGCACTAAATGTAGGAGAGCTCTGGTGATATGGTAAGCAACTGTGCTGCCAATGCAAAGGTACGTGGTTCAAACCCACAAGCTGCTCTGCAAGTAAAAGATGGGCAATCTCCTCCTCTATCATTTACTGCCTCTGAAAACCCACTAGACGGTCAGCAATGAGTTGGTTCCAACTTAAGGGTACACAACAACAAGAACAAATGAAAACAGGAGAGTTCTGGTGGCTGTGTTGTTCTCAGAGTCAATGGTGAGTTTGAACCACCAACCTTTCAGTAAACAGTCAAGTGCTATTGACTGAGGCATGAGAATTCCTTCTCTCTAGATATAGTCGCCTTGAATCTTTTTAGCAAAAGATATAACAGTAAACAGATTTTATTGCAAGTCCACCAAGTATATTATTTGTAACAAATACTGTGGAGTAGAACATTGGTAAAACTAGAGATGATTCTACTCTTATTACCATCATCTCCACCATCACTTATGATCTGGCTATTTTCATAAATAATCTTTCAGTCATTTCAAAAAAACAATGTTTATTTAATAAGAAAAATATGCTTGACAATTTAAGAGATATCACTTGTTTCTGGTTTAAATTATTGCACCCACAAATAGGTATTAAAAGTACTTTAAAGTATTTAAAGTATTTATTTAAAGTATTTTAAAGTCATAAAAGAATTTTAATATTGTTTAAAGCCTATTTTGAGTGATTTCTTAAAATTCAACATTAATTACAGAAAGGTTAAACTTTATTCACTATGGGATTCAAAATTGTATGAATGGTTTCAATATACCTGAAGTTTTAAGAAAGGCAAATTTTTATCAGCAGGATTAATTTCCCCACAGAATTAACATTCCTGGTTTACCTGGTTGAAATCTAATAGCTTCTACTAGTGCTTATGCATGAAAGCATAACAATATTTCCAATAGCTAACAAAAACATATAAAAAAAGAAAATTTTCTACAATGTAAAAAAATAAAATTGGCATGGACTTATTCTTAATTCCAGTACCGGCTGTTTTCATTTTAAAACAATTTTGTGGATTCAAGAAACACCACTCTGGAGCTGTTAGGTCATCTAAGTTTTTAATGACACTCATTTATAAAATTATCAGTAATCATGAAAGACTGTATTAAAAAGATCAAAAGGCTTGCATGAGGTTGGCTCTCCTGAATTTAGCATGTTTACATATCTGTACATCTACAATCCAGCAGTTATGTTTATGTTTATGTTTCTACCATTCAGAACTATCTTCCTGACTGCTTTATTAATTCACACATGAAAATAGGAAGATACAGAAAAAATTTATTGTTAGCTCCTTCATGGTTGCCACTTAAAAAGACCTGACTCAGGGAGCTCTGGTGGCCTAGTGGCAAGATGCTGCACTGCAATTCCAGAGGTACCTGGTTCGAATCCACCAGATGCTCTGCTGGAGAAGGAGGAGGCAATCTCCTCCTGTATCAGTCAGATCTGATTTGATGGTACACGTAAAAAAAAAAAAAAGACCTGACTCCTTGAGTCTTAAGTTCTGCACTGCCCTCACATTTACCAACTGGCTTATCATATTTTCCTTAAGAGTTAAAATTATTCCTACCTAATTAAAATTAGAGTAAAATTATACAAACAGAAGGAGAAAATGTGATTTTTAAAAGATACGTTTGTTCCCAAATTCTCCACTATTTTATTAGAATAAATGTACCAATAAAGTTTATTTAAACATTACTATGTTCTAAATTTTTTCCTTGAACTGTTTATGTTAGTATTTATAATTAATTAAAAACACTTACCATCCTGCTGTTTCACAAGTCCCTGCTGAATATAACGAATGTATGTAAAAAAGTTACATACAGATGTGATCTAGGAACAAGAAAAATGTCATTAGCCCTCAAATGTTTCATATCCAAATGAGTTGTATTAAAATTCATGGTTAAGTCACTTACTCTGTATCTGCAAAAAGGAGAAATGTAATAATAATTGCTCGAGTCTCCCAATTTAATTCTGTGTTTACAAGATTTACTCTGGCCAGTCAGAGCACATTTTCTGTAAAATAATGATAGATTTTAGTTTCATTCTATTGAGAGCATTTTGTTTCCATTTTCTGTGTAAACTGTGTATTCTCTCAGGTAGCAAACAGTCGAGAACCTACTGCATACCAGGCACTACCTTGGATGCTAGGTCAATAAACGAATGCCCTTGCAGGTCTCATATTCTAAGTAACCTTAACACCATAGCGTTAATCATGGTTCTACAATTATAAACTAGATGTTTTAAGTATCTTTTGAATTTGTAAAAGTAAAGTAAACCATAACTACTTATTTGAGTGGTAAGAAGCTGTGCTGCTTACTCAAATGCACACAGTTTAAATCCATCAGCTGCCTCTGCCCGGGGCAGGCTGCCGTCGGCCCCCTGCCCGGGACTAGCCGTCGCGGCCCTCTGCCCGGGGCGGGCTGCCCTCGGCCCCCGGCTCGGGGCGAGCCGTCGCGGCCCTCTGCCCGGGGAGGGCTACCCTCGGCCCCCGGCTCGGGGCGAGCTGTCACGGCCCTCTGCCCGGGGCGAGCCGTCGTGGCCTTCTGCCCGGGGCGGGCTGCACTTGGCCTCTGGCTCGGGGAGAGCCATTGTGGCCCTCAGGGTGAGCTCCTCAGTCCCCAGATTGTGCCATCTGACCCCTGGGTGGGGAAGGAGAAGAAAAAAAAAAGAATGCCTACGGTATCAGAGAATGTTTCCTAGGCCCCCTTCTGCCACCCTCCCCCAACCCCCCCCCCCATAAACCTGAAAGCAACATCCTCAGAGCCCTTCTATTTGTAACTCACAAGTTTGTTCTCTCTAGGTTTGCTCCCTTTCCTATAGGTAACCTTAACTCTGAGTTTTACTCCATAATTGACCCTGAACCCAGTGCCAGTGACAAAAACGAAATACAACTGACAGCTAAGGAAGCAAAGGAGGATGGAGCCTCTGAGTTCAGCCAGCCATCCCTACTGGACCCACCTGGGAAAACACTTTGCAGTCCAGAGGGGAGCAAATGACAGGAAAATATCTTCTAACAGAGCAAGAAGGCAAGCAGCTGTAACCCAAGACCACCAGTAAGGTGATAAAGCATCCTCCCTTCCCCCCTTTACATCTACGCCCCTGTTCAGCATGAAGAAGCCAGAGAGTCGGCATTCAATTCCCAAATCAATAAGACAGTTGGTTTAATTACTATTGGAAAATGCTTGTCATTCCTCTGTAGCATCTGGTCCCCACTGGACCCTCATCATTTCCTTCACCTGCTCCCTCCACCGACCAAACTGTGCAGCTCTGCAACTGCATCCTGGCCCATCCTCACCCTTCTGCCCCCAACCCTCACCTCCTTGTACCCCCAATATGTTTTCCCAATAAAAAAAATATTATAAATCCATCAGCTGCTCCAAGGGAGAAGTACAGGCAATCTCCACCCATGCAATTCACTACCTCTGAAAATCCACTAGAGGACCAGCTATGACTGACCCATGGTACAGTACAACAGTACATTACAACAATCCGTGAAAAGTTTCTGACTATTGGGGGAGCTCTGCTCCTAAACCACCAATGGTTCTGAAAGAGAAAGAGGGACAACCTCCTGTGCCATTTATGACATCAGAAACCCAATGGAAGAGGCTCAGTGATGAGTCAGTTCTAACTTGACGGTACTGAGACTCAATGAAGAAGTACAACACAGGCAAACCAGGTTGCCCAGGGGAAGAAGGGATGTGTTATTTAATGTTGCCTATCCAGCAACAAATGTACATATATGTAATCAGCTCTGGCAGTAGAAGAATGGGCAATCTCCCTTGCAATTAACTCCCTCCTAAAACCCACTGGATTGTCAGCTATGGCTTGGTTCTGACCTGATGGTACACAACAATAACTAGCTCTTAGCAGTCTATCTGCACTTCTTTCTTAGCTGAAACCCTAAAGATAATTATTCAAGCCTTCAAATATTTTTATTTATAGCGTGTTGGATAACAGCGTGGAGATAAGTTAGGGGGTTTTAGTTTGCTTGGTTTGTTGTTGTTAGGTGCTGTGCTGTGAAGTCATTTCCAATTCATAGCGGCTGTTTAACGTCAGAAAATACTCCATTCTAAATGTGAGATGTCTAGATTTCACATTAATGGATGTTTGCACACGTTTCCTCTCATTTTGGTTGGGTTACGTATTTAATGTGGAATCTAGGGCTAAGACCTACAAAGAAATAAGCCATCTTATGCAAATACTGAGTCTTAAGATAATTATGATGAGTCTACTTTTAGAAAAGCCATCTTATCTTTTTGCTCACTACCAAAATCTAAAATCTCATCTCAGAGCTTTCTGACTATGATTAGGCCATAATCCTTCTGCTGGCAGATATCTAGCACATGGCAGGCATGCAGTGATGAGCACTTGTTAATCTACTGATATAGAGGAGAAACAAGCTTGTCTAGTAGGTGGCCTGGAATGTGACCCTTTCTCATCTTCGATACTAACCATTACCAGTTTCCTCAAAAAATTTCCAAGTTATTTTTTAAACAGGCAAAACCTTTGCATGTTTAAAGGGTTTAGGCAGAGTTAGTTCAGCCTTCCTGCTCTCAGGCCAGGATGAAGACAAATCTGTTCTACTCGGAAATGGAGAAATCTTAACTCTGAAGGGTTAAGATTGTTTCTCATATAAGGAAGACTGAGTATTTGCCAAATTAGGAATCTTTAAAATGACAATAATAAACAAGAGGATGAGCTAAATCTTTTTGGTACCCTATCTTTTCATGTTTGATTATTAAGACTTAGTCTAATTCAATGTGATCTCTAACTTTTTAAACTAGAACTCTGGAAGAAGTATTTTAAAAACACAAGGCATACAGCTTTATCTGTTTAACAAGCAAAATTGTTAGTAACTTTCACAATAAGTCACAATATATGATTAAACAAGTCAAGAAAAAGTGTCTCATCCATAGTATACCTAGATCCATAACACATACTTTTAAAATGAAAAGTGCTCTCTCAATGCTTATGTCCTGTATTATCTGGGGATTTGTTTTTCAGCTTTAATGAAACTAAGTATAAAATTGGTAAGAAATACATCCACATTAAAACTAAATGATACATGTAACACATGAAAAAAATTTGAAAGCAGCAACTTTTCTAAGCCATGAATTTTAAAACATACTTTGGTCCTCCACATTCAAGTGCAGAAGCTTTCACAAATCGGATAGGCTGTAATCCCACCGGTTCAATGCTGAGAGTGTTGTTTTCCACAGCTTCCAGAACAGCTGAAGCCAACTGTGGGGAAAAAAAAAGTGTACCAGATGCTATCTTGGCAGAAAATACCAAAACTGTATTCTACTGACACTAATTTTTAAAGAATATTCTTCTCTCCAGTTACACTAGTTAGGCCTCAAGCAAATAAAATGAAGCATGTAATTTTCTTTTATTCAAATATTGTTACTTAAGGCAATTCAAAGATATTAAATCATCTCCCTATCTGGCAGAGGATGAAAAGCATCACTCTCAGTCTCTGTCGATTCCTTAGCCACAATTAAGATCTACTGTTAATGTGACTACAAAATAAACATCCTAACCTTTTACTTCACTACATTTATGTAATATTATAGGTAATGTAGAAATAGCAAACACAAATAGCTTGTGGTTGTACACCTAAGAATGAGTCTACAAATGAAATAATAGAATTATCAAATATTAAAAACCCAGATGAAGAAAGAAATATTACTAAAGCTGGCTGGCCTGCAGGAACAGAGATCTACCAAACAATGTATCTCATATTGAAAATATCTCATTGCTCACTTTACCTTTTCCTTAAAAGGATTGTTACAATTAAGTCCTCAAAAGAATAAAAATAAAGTAACACTTTTAAAAGTTAAAATTCTTAAATAATGAGTTATAGAATATTTGCAGGCAAACTTTCAGCACATAAGAATAAATTAAAATTAGAGCCTTATATTTGGATAGTATTTTATTTTAAAAGTTATTTAATCAACTTCATTGTATCTTTTTACAATTTGTGACACAGGTAAAAAAAAGTCACTATTTTTAAAACGAGGATACTATTTTATTATGCACAAATAAATAAAAAAATGCCTTTAATATAGTGCATAGTGTATAGCACATCTCTTAAAATGAAGAGTGAATTAAGAATCAGGAAACCAGCCGCTCTGCCAATACACATTTAACATTCATTCTTACACAGCACACTCTACAGGGTAAGCGATCCTCTGTTCAAGTAAGCAACATATTTGGGAACTGAATGCCAAGAAATTATGGTCTTAATAATGAATGGAAAAGTGGTAAAACATAATTAAGTGGGTTTTTTTTAATTTTTGTGATTCTTTAGTGAAAGTTTACAGAAAGGTTGGGTTTCCGTTCATTTGTTGATTCT